CGCCCGCCCCTTGCAACCTGCCGCCAGGCCTGCTGCTCATTAGATATCGCTGCGCTGCACTCCAGCGGCTGCAGCGGCGGCCCCGGCGGCTCCAGCGGCTCCAGCATCCCGTGTGCAATATGCGGCGCGCGGGGCGTGACTGGAAGTGGAGCATCAGGATGCAATGAGTGCGGGGCAGGGGCTATCCAGCGGCCGTTCAACCGATATGCAGTAGTGGCGGAACCAGGAGGGTGATCTCGTGGAGTCGGAGGAGGGGGGAGAGGGTGTGCAGAGGGGCGTCGTCTCAACCCACCGCATTCTTTTGGACCAATGCGTCATTTTCACGTCACTGGACAAGACAGGACGACGGGCCGGACCCGGTGCGGCCGGGATTTGACGTGCGACGAGTCCCTCTCTGAAAGCGACACAGAGAGGGAGAGAGAGATAGGGAGTGAGCGAGAGAGAGAGGGAAAGAGAAGGGATAGAGTAAAAAGAAAGAGAAAGACAGCAGAACCAGCAGGAGCAGCGAGAGATCGCCTCAAGCCCTATGGGCCTCAACTGATTGGTGTGTGATACCAATGATTGCGCGTGTTGGGAAGCCTCTCTCACTCGCCTCTCCATTCGTCTCTCCCCCCTCTCCCTCTCCTTCTCTCTCTTTCTTTCCCTCTCTCTCCCTCTCTCTCCCTCTCTCGCCCTCGATATCCCCCTGCACCGCAATGGGACGTGATAATTTACAGATGATTTGTGGTGCGACTGAATGGGATGCTGCAGCAATGGACCAGCAAAGCATTTGCATCGCACTTCCATCTCTTTCTCCCCGCCTCTCTCTCTCTCTTTCTCTCTCTTCCCAACGTCATCTCTCGATATCCCAGTGGCAATAAGCTGCCGTGAGCGCGCACACACATCTACACACACACTCACAACCACGGAGTCATTCAGCACTTCTCGGATACGTCGCTCGCATTCCTGGAAGCAAACGCGATCACTGTCTAGCCTAGTAGTCCTGGCAGCACGTTCCCCTCCCCACCCGCCGCTCTAGACAGGATCTCTCTCACCCCTCTCCCCTCCCCCTCTCACTCCCTCTCTTCCAGCTGAACACTCTGGCATTCCCCTTCCCCCCTCCTTAGCCTGCGCCGTCGCTGACACTTTGCCATGTACTGAACTACGACCCACGACGCTGCTACAAGGCGCATCGGAAGCTGCAAGCGGAGCGGAAACGCGCTCAAAACAACGAAATAATGTTGATAAAGCGAAGCAGTACCGCGGCCCCGGCGAGCCGATCTACTGGAGCAGAACCTGAACGCGCGGCTGCTGGAGGATCGCGGGAGCCCCGTCGCCCCGCCACGCCCCGCCACGCCCCGCCACGCCCCGCGGCGCTGTGCACGAGCTATGCCATGCACGTCGATGGGAGGCTCACCCGTTACATATCGGCCAGAGTCAGCCTATACTGGCGCGCGAGGCACGCGGGCGCGGCGGGGCGCGGCGGGGCCTCAGGGAAGGCAGAGCAGGAGCGTTTGGCGGCAACGACGCACAGATAAGCACCTTGAGGGCTGCCCCCCTCGTGATAACGAGTAATGAGAGAAAGCATCGGGGTTGTGTGTCCCGTTGTGTGTGCGGCGATGGTGACGCCCTACATGACCACCACCGCCGAGCCCTGCTGCTGCTGCCTGCTCGGCGCCCATCTGCCGCGTTATAACGTTATGACTGTTATTATGACGACTGACTGATGTGTGAAGCGCGGGCGGGGAGGGTGTCGGCAGCAGCAGCTCGCAGCAGCAGGGGTTGGATTTTGACAGTTGCGCCTCAGCCAGCTGACGCCCCGGCCGCGCGTCAATCTGACCCCCTTTCCCGCCTTCCCTCCCCGCTATGGCCCGGGCCCAGCCCCCGTCCGCCCCATCCTGCGCCGCCCGACGGGTAGCCGGGCCGGGCCCCCGACGGGTAGCTACACGGTAGGCCCCCGACCGGCACCAGCGGCACGGCCCCCTGCAGCGCGCCCGGTAGACTGCACGGTGGCTCCACGGAGCGGGGAGCCTGGCGGGAGCCTGGCGGGAGCGAGCAAGGAGCAGGCCGCCCATTCAATGAATGGGGTGCGGTTATCACATCGGGACGATACCCTTCGACGGCGAGGGGCCTCCGGACCCGGCAGGGCCCGGACCGGTGAGGGGGGCAGCCTGATTTATCGGCCCTGGAACAGGTGCCGGATGAGGACCCTCTTGCTAGTGCTGCACCCATAGAGGACGGCACTGCATTGAATACCTGCGCGCCTATCTCCTGTGTGAGTGTGTGTGAGACTGTGTGTGTGTGGACGGTGCGCGAATCAAAAGGGGGAGGAGCGGCCGCCGCCGGGGCTAACGAGGGAGCGGCCGAGGAGGAGCAGGTGCACGAAAGAAATTGATGTAGTGTCCGAGAGAGGAGGCCAGGGGGCGGCGGAGGAGGAGAAGGAGGAGGAGGAGGAGTCGGCTGGAGCGACCTGTGCAGGCGGGGCGGGGCGGGGCGGGGCGACCGGCCGGGGCACTCGCGCACCAGCAAAAGGATTATCAAGTTATAAACTGATTTTCAACCCCATTCAGGGGGAGGACGGGTTCGTTATTATTAGAGGGAGCAGCAGCAAGCGATTCAATTATCAGCAGTCCGCCGAGCAGATAACGATCGACACGGGGTCTTCGCTCTTCGTGCGCCCCGCTCGTATGGTACTTGAACTTGACCAGTGTCTTGTTGTTGCAGGTCCGGCACAGGTTCGGCTGCTACGACGAGATCACCGAGACCAACAGAAGAAAAGTGAGGCACTGCAACTGGGTGCGCTTCCTGCGGACCGTGTCGGCGTACACCCCGGAGGTGAACCTCATCGGCACCAAGGTGAAGGGCGAGCCGGTGTACGAGGTGGTGAGGCCCGTGGCCGCGCACACCGAGCTCGTCGCCTTCCTGCTGCCCGAGACGTCCGAGGACCTGCTCCTCATGCCGGCCGTCCACTTCCTCAGAAACACCCTGTACCGGCGGACCATGGACGCCATCCTGGAAGGTGAGTACGAAGACGTGCACTGCTGGTTCGCCACAAACGCGCTCCTCCCCCTCCACGCATTCAGGTCTCTAACCACCGCCTCTCCTTCTCAATAGAGTCCCCGCTCGACCTATCCATGTCGCTGCTGGCGCGCGGACACCACGGCGCCGTGCAGCCCGCGGGATCACCTTCGAGCAGCGCGTCCAGCGCCATGGAGCACGCCGACGAGCACAAGTCCGTGTCGGGCGAGTCCCTCTCCTCGTGCCTGTCCACGTCGTCGGTGGCGTCCTCGGCGTCCTCGGAGGACCTCCTGCACCTCCCCGACAGCCTGGCGCAGGACGCCGCCACCCTCCTCCTGCCCGCGGCCGCGCGGCCGCCCCGCGTACCCGCACCCTCCTCGTCGCCGTCGTCCTCGCCGCCGGGCCTTAGCATGGGCCGCAGCAGAGGCAACGGCACGCGGGTGGGCCGCGGCGAGCGCACCCTGCTGCCCTGCGAGGTGTGCGGCAAGAGCTTCGACCGGCCGTCCCTGCTCAAGAGGCACATGCGGACCCACACAGGTGAGCTCATCGCCGTGCTCGCCAACGCACCAGCACTTCTCCGGCACAGCACCACACTGACCTCTCTTTCCTCGCAGGCGAAAAGCCGCACGTGTGCTCCGTGTGCTCCAAGGGGTTCTCGACGTCGTCCTCGCTCAACACCCACCGCCGCATCCACTCGGGCGAGAAGCCCCACCAGTGCCCCGTCTGCGGGAAGAGGTTCACCGCCTCCTCCAACCTGTACTACCACCGCATGACCCACGTCAAGGTAAGCCCCCCCTTCTCGGAATCGGATTTGTTTCCTACGCCGCGGCGCGTCGCGACTCCACTGGACCGTGGACCAGGAGAGTCGTCATGAAAGAGTGAGAAAGCGAGATAAGATGTCCGTCACGGTTAGTCTAGGAGGACTCGTTTGTCAACCGCATCCAGCTTATTTAAGTCTCGTTTTCCACCACTTTGGTGCTGCGGGTGGTGGATGGGGGGGGGGGGAGCAACCGCGCCAAACAGGTGTCGCCGCACACGGCGCAGCAGGGGAGGAAGCATCTGCTTGGCGATTTCCGACACGATAAACGGGGGTAAGGCACGCGCTTGGGGGCAGAAGTGTGTCAGGGCTGATAGGGGCGGCGGGGAGGGGGAGGGAAGGGTTAGGGAGGGGAGGGCCCCGGGGGCAGAGCAGCAGCATATGACGCGGCGAGCAGACACGAGACAATTACAAACGAACGAGAGGTCGATTTGTCAGAAGGGCAGGGCAGGGCAGGTCATGGGGTGGCCCGCCCGAGTGCCACATGTTGCCCTGCCTGTTGCGCTATCTCTGCCCCGTGTAATGACATCTAGCGAGCGCGGGGGCGGCTGGGGCGGCTCCTGGGACGCCATGTCGGGCACGTCGCGTCCGTGGTGGGACAGGCCTTACGCCTTACAGCACCACCGATAGCTTCTTGGGGCGCAAGTCTGCCGCAGACAGCCGGCATTAAGTCATTATTTGACGGAGTTCCGGTCGGCGCAGTCAGACGACGGCCGCCTCCGGTTTTTCGTCGTTTCCGGGAGGATCCGGCTGTCGGAGGGCGGGCGAGCACGCCGCGGGTGCTCAGGTACGGATCCGTTTCGTCTCGGCTCGGCCCCAGGGAGCGCGGAGGGCGGGCCCTGTTTGTTTTAGGCGCGGTGGCCCCCGGAGTCCTCCGGATGAGGGTGAGGACACCCAGACTAATCGGGTCTAGCCCCTGATGAGCGAATCAACCTGTGGCCGTGGGAGCCTGGCGGGGGCGGGGCGGGAAGGAGCCTTACCGCGGCGGTGTGGTCGGCGGGCGGGGGTGTGCCGGGGCGGGGCCCTCGTTGCCATAACTTTGCGTGCGTGTCGCCCCGCCCCCCACCGCCCCCGGGGGCGGTGCAGGACCCGCGTATCTCGGCAGGGCGGGGCGGGCAGATGCCACGCGGCCGAGCACTTGCTCCGCGTTGGTGTGCGGGGTCGCCTTTCCCACGCCGAGTCGCGCCCCAGTGCACAGAGAGCACCTGGGCCGGCCGCGGCCAGCCCGTCTTGGTCCTCCCTCAAGACGGCCGTCATGGTCGACAACAACATCTGATCCCTATCGCGTTAGAGTTACCGGAGCGCGGCGCCACAAGGACCCCTGCTCCAGCGCGATATGAATTGGGGAAGGTTTTTGTCATGGGAAGTGCGCACGCACCCCAATCACAAACCGGACCGCCTTGGAAGGCGCTGCTGCTCGGGGGAAGGAATAAACGCGAGGAGGAGACGGAAGGAGACGAACCCCGCGGTATGGCCCCGCCACAGTCCAGTAAGCACCCTCTCCCCTGGGAACGCACGCACCCACGCACGCATGCATGGGCGCTGGCCTGCCCTGCCACACCCCCGCTGCACCTGCTATCGCACTCTGCTGCGGCTCTCCCACGCCGCCCAGAGGCCCCCCGCGGTACTACGACCACCACCACTACCACGCCGGACCCGCCACGCCCACGCCGCCGCGCACTGCTTTGCGCACACCACTCTTAGTTTCCGATATATATTTTTTCCTTCTTTTCTCCTCCCCTTCGCTCGCCGTGTGCTATCCCGCTCCACCTGCCCGCCGCCGGGCCCAGGCCCAGGGCGCTGTACATGTGTGTATACATTTCCATCGCGGGCACCAAGGCGAGGGGGGTCTGCAGTAAAAACGCGTGGGGGGCTGAGAGCTGGGGGGCGGAGGAGGAGTAGCAGCCGAGCGGCCGCCGTGCCGTGCCGGCCAGCCAGCCGGCCCCCGCCAGGCTTTGGGTGAGCCCCTGAGGTAATTGAAAGTCCAACAGTCAGGTGTGTTCCGGGGGGCATAATGCGAGAGTCCAGTCCGGTGGTAGAAGAAAAGGCAGCGAGGTGAGGGGCAGCCGAGGCAGAAGCAGCAGCAGCAGCAAGGCGTGCAGGGCCCGCCCCCCAGCCGGTCGTGGTGGCCGCGCCGGGCGCGCACCGCACCGCGGGGGTCGCGCCTCCCTGTAAATAAGCAATCAGCGCGCTGCCAATAACCTCGCGCCGGTGAATAATTCCTTCTCTTGGCTCCCGCATTGCCGCGAAGACAGAGGAGGCGACTGCTGAGCTGCGTGTGTGCAAAGAGGAGGAGGCGGAGAGAGGAGTTGCGTGTGTTTTGTATTCAAAAACATATGCGCGCGGCGCGGCGATACGACGAACTTACGTATGTAGCAGCAGCAGCAGCAGGGACGTATGGAAAACAAAAGATCGCTACCGTACAGGGCCGCCCGCCCGCCACGCCACGCCACGCCACGCTCCGTACCGGCCACCGATAATTACCGGACGAAAGAAACATCGGTACGGTATAGGCCGGCCGGCCGGCCGCCCTGGACTGGGCTGTGCCGGGCAGCAACACAACAGGAGCACGGCGGCGGCGGCGGAGGCCGGGGAGGCCCCCGGGGAGCCCCGGGGAGCCCCCGCAGCAGCCCCGCGCGCTGCTATACGGAGGAGGTAGATCACCGATAAAAGAATGATTGGCCCGCGGTGGTGGCGGCGTGTGGCGGTAGCGGTTAATATAGGGCCGTACCGGTACGCCAGTGTGCGTGCGTGTGTGTGTGTGGAAGAGAGTGGACCACTCGCTCGATCATCTCGATTCGTAACGAAAAAAAAAGAGATAATAATTTATGAAATATAATAATAAAAAAAAGGGAGCGAGAGCAGAGGAGCAGAGCACCCTCGATTTGTCAGAAGGGCAGGGCAGGGCAGGTCATGGGGTGGCCCGCCCGAGTGCCACATGTTGCCCTGCCTGTTGCGCTATCTCTGCCCCGTGTAATGACATCTAGCGAGCGCGGGGGCGGCTGGGGCGGCTCCTGGGACGCCATGTCGGGCACGTCGCGTCCGTGGTGGGACAGGCCTTACGCCTTACAGCACCACCGATAGCTTCTTGGGGCGCAAGTCTGCCGCAGACAGCCGGCATTAAGTCATTATTTGACGGAGTTCCGGTCGGCGCAGTCAGACGACGGCCGCCTCCGGTTTTTCGTCGTTTCCGGGAGGATCCGGCTGTCGGAGGGCGGGCGAGCACGCCGCGGGTGCTCAGGTACGGATCCGTTTCGTCTCGGCTCGGCCCCAGGGAGCGCGGAGGGCGGGCCCTGTTTGTTTTAGGCGCGGTGGCCCCCGGAGTCCTCCGGATGAGGGTGAGGACACCCAGACTAATCGGGTCTAGCCCCTGATGAGCGAATCAACCTGTGGCCGTGGGAGCCTGGCGGGGGCGGGGCGGGAAGGAGCCTTACCGCGGCGGTGTGGTCGGCGGGCGGGGGTGTGCCGGGGCGGGGCCCTCGTTGCCATAACTTTGCGTGCGTGTCGCCCCGCCCCCCACCGCCCCCGGGGGCGGTGCAGGACCCGCGTATCTCGGCAGGGCGGGGCGGGCAGATGCCACGCGGCCGAGCACTTGCTCCGCGTTGGTGTGCGGGGTCGCCTTTCCCACGCCGAGTCGCGCCCCAGTGCACAGAGAGCACCTGGGCCGGCCGCGGCCAGCCCGTCTTGGTCCTCCCTCAAGACGGCCGTCATGGTCGACAACAACATCTGATCCCTATCGCGTTAGAGTTACCGGAGCGCGGCGCCACAAGGACCCCTGCTCCAGCGCGATATGAATTGGGGAAGGTTTTTGTCATGGGAAGTGCGCACGCACCCCAATCACAAACCGGACCGCCTTGGAAGGCGCTGCTGCTCGGGGGAAGGAATAAACGCGAGGAGGAGACGGAAGGAGACGAACCCCGCGGTATGGCCCCGCCACAGTCCAGTAAGCACCCTCTCCCCTGGGAACGCACGCACCCACGCACGCATGCATGGGCGCTGGCCTGCCCTGCCACACCCCCGCTGCACCTGCTATCGCACTCTGCTGCGGCTCTCCCACGCCGCCCAGAGGCCCCCCGCGGTACTACGACCACCACCACTACCACGCCGGACCCGCCACGCCCACGCCGCCGCGCACTGCTTTGCGCACACCACTCTTAGTTTCCGATATATATTTTTTCCTTCTTTTCTCCTCCCCTTCGCTCGCCGTGTGCTATCCCGCTCCACCTGCCCGCCGCCGGGCCCAGGCCCAGGGCGCTGTACATGTGTGTATACATTTCCATCGCGGGCACCAAGGCGAGGGGGGTCTGCAGTAAAAACGCGTGGGGGGCTGAGAGCTGGGGGGCGGAGGAGGAGTAGCAGCCGAGCGGCCGCCGTGCCGTGCCGGCCAGCCAGCCGGCCCCCGCCAGGCTTTGGGTGAGCCCCTGAGGTAATTGAAAGTCCAACAGTCAGGTGTGTTCCGGGGGGCATAATGCGAGAGTCCAGTCCGGTGGTAGAAGAAAAGGCAGCGAGGTGAGGGGCAGCCACGGCAGAAGCAGCAGCAGCAAGGCGTGCAGGGCCCGCCCCCCAGCCGGTCGTGGTGGCCGCGCCGGGCGCGCACCGCACCGCGGGGGTCGCGCCTCCCTGTAAATAAGCAATCAGCGCGCTGCCAATAACCTCGCGCCGGTGAATAATTCCTTCTCTTGGCTCCCGCGCGTTGCCGAAGGCAGAGGAGGCGACTGCTGAGCTGCGTGTGTGCAAAGAGGAGGAGGCGGAGAGAGGAGTTGCGTGTGTTTTGTATTCAAAAACATATGCGAGCGGCGCGGCGATACGACGAACTTACGTATGTAGCAGCAGCAGCAGCAGCAGCAGGGACGTATGGAAAACAAAAGATCGCTACCGTACAGGGCCGCCCGCCCGCCACGCCACGCCACGCCACGCTCCGTACCGGCCACCGATAATTACCGGACGAAAGAAACATCGGTACGGTATAGGCCGGCCGGCCGGCCGCCCTGGACTGGGCTGTGCCGGGCAGCAACACAACAGGAGCACGGCGGCGGCGGCGGAGGCCGGGGAGGCCCCCGGGGAGCCCCGGGGAGCCCCCGCAGCAGCCCCGCGCGCTGCTATACGGAGGAGGTAGATCACCGATAAAAGAATGATTGGCCCGCGGTGGTGGCGGCGTGTGGCGGTAGCGGTTAATATAGGGCCGTACCGGTACGCCAGTGTGCGTGCGTGTGTGTGTGTGGAAGAGAGTGGACCACTCGCTCGATCATCTCGATTCGTAACGAAAAAAAAAGAGATAATAATTTATGAAATATAATAATAAAAAAAAGGGAGCGAGAGCAGAGGAGCAGAGCACCCCACGGGGCTCTTGGCCGTGTGCTGAGCGCGAGGCATGGCCCACACGAGGCCTGGCCCACACGTCGGGACCAGCTCGGGGGGCTCCGGGGGGCTCCGGGGGCCCCACAAACGTGACGCTCAGATTGAAAGCTCAACGCCGCCGTGCCACGGCGCGGCAGTGGGGGCGGGGAGGAGGAGGATGAGGAGGTTTTTTGTGCCCGGTAGGAAACAAGGCGGCGCAAGAGAGGAGATGGACAGCGAGAAGCCCCCACGCCCGCGCTACGCCCCGCGTGGACTGCTGCGTCTCGTTCCGCCCCTCCTGCGCCTGCCAGAGAGCGTTATGCGCTCGCACACAGCAGCTCGCTGGCTTGGTCGGTCATGTCCACTTTTTTCCCGCCTTGCCGTGCAGCCCTGGGTGCTGCTTGACCTCCGGGCGCCCTGCCCTTGTCTCCGCCGGCCGACCCTCGGCCGACCCTGACCTGACCCGCGGTCGCAATCGCTCATGCGCCGTCCGACCCGGTCCGACCCCTGAGAACACGCCGCACGGCTCGTCGATCACGCGTGGCAGCCAAGTCGAGTTCCTCGTTTTTTTTTTCGCTCGTATTTATCTTCTTCTTCCCTTCCCCTCTCAATCGCATTGCATTCCCTCTATTCTGACTTTTTCATTCATTCAGTCATTCATTCCGTTTGTCGGCATAAACCCCTCCCCCGGTTTTAATGAAGACCTTTAATGATATCCGTGGCGGTGCTCTATGTTGTGCTCCCTGACCCACTTGCCGTGGTAGAGGCCAAACGGCTCGCCACACACACACACGCTCATATCCGCCCGGGCGCGGCCGTGGAGAGGTGCGCAGAGAGGGTTGGGATCGGTTTTGGAATAAGGTCCTGCCGACCGCAACCCCGCCGCCTGGGCGAGGCCCGGCGAGGCCTACCGGGCCGGGCCGAACTACTCAATCCCAGGCCATTAGGGAACACTATCCCTCCCGGTCATCATTTTCTGTTTAATGTATTCCATCCCGTCTCAAGTCAGCCTCGGCCCACCTTCCTATTTTCATCTCCTCATTTCCTTCACACTTTTCTATCTGTTCGGCGCGTTCGGCGGTCGATATAGGCGGGACGGGACGCCGCGCGGCTGAAACACGCGGGTCGGCCTGATCAGAAGAGGGGCGTAAGCCACACCTCGCGCTCACGTGTGAGTGTGATAGAGTGAGAGAGGGGGGAGGGGGGGAGAGGCAATCGTATCGTATACGTCCCGCCTGGCGAGAACTGCTGACGAATTCGCCAGCTCATCGAGCAGCTCATCGAGGAGCTTATTGATGATACGGAGGCGGCACGCTGAGGCCCGCGGCCCGAGGCCTTATCGCCCGATTCCTCTGTCTCTCTCATACTCCTCAATGTCTCTCTCTCTCTCTCTCTCTCTCTCTTTTTCTCCGGCGCGTCATCTTTCAGCGGCCGCAAAAGAAGCGATATGCGTGTCGTCGTGCGGCCGAATTGAATCGACTGCTTGTGTTATTTTTCACCAAATCGAATATCGACTGGTTTGGCAGGGTGGCTGCCGCTGCCGCTGTTGCCTGCCGCTGCTGCCGTTGCTCCCCGGGGCTTATACGTGAGAGTTATGAATGTTTGGCAGGTAGCTTTGGCCCTACAGCCATCCCCCCTCCTCCCCATACCCCTTCCCCCCAGGGAGCCCGCCACCTCCGCCGGCCTGGCCCGATCCTTAATTACGATGAGATGAAAACAATTGCACCTCTTGTACTGCCTCGGTATTGACGGCCCACAAATCCCATCATACTGCGCTGCTGCGGGGCTGTGTGCGGCGCGGCGTGGGGGCGGCGGCGTCGGCAGCGGCGGGAAAAAGTAAAACAAAGGCAAAAAGCTTTAAGGAAAAAACAAAGAGGAAGGAAAAGGAAACTGTCGCAGAGCAGCCTGCTGCATAGCCTTGGTGTCACAGCTCTATGACGATGATTGAATCGCGACTAAATTAAGGCAGCTTCTCCTTTGCTTCCCATTTCATGGGGATGGCTCCCGATGCCTCACTTTGTTTTGTTTTTTTAAGGCCTCCTAGGAGACGGTTGGGGGCCACCAAGGGACCGCAGCAGCCTAGGGCCGTTCAGTTAAGAGGGGGAGGGGGGGATCAGATTGAAAGTAAATGAGATCGGCAGACTCTCCCGCCCGCCCCAACCTCTCCCCTCCGCTCCCGAGCGGCGCGCTTGCTGCGACGCGACGCGCCTTCCGAAAGCAATCATATTCCTCAGCTCGACTTTGCTCGCGGACAAACAGCGACACCTTGGTGCAGAGCAGCAGCAGCAGCAGGCCGAGAGCAGCTCGAGGGGCAGCAGCTCCACACCACCACCGGGCAGGATGACGTTCCCAGAAAAAATAAATAATAAAAAGCGCGGCTGTATGCGGCGCTGCTGCAGCAAGCCTCACGCAGGTTGTAATTTGCAGTGAGAAAGTACGGCACACACACAGACACATACATACGTACACAAAGACACACAGACATTCACACAGACACATCATCCACTCACTCAAAAACGAGGCGAAAACAAACTGGGCGGTAACGAGGGGAGAGAGAGGGTAAACCTCCACGACGGCGGCGGCGCGTCGTGTCCCGCACTTGCCACGCCGGCCTGGGGAGGCTCTATCCGCAGCCCAAATTACACGAGGAAAAGAGGAAGGGGGGGGGGCGTAATGATAACGCGCGTAAAGTGTGTACCGCCCCGCCCCGCCCCGCTAGGGCTGCATTATTCATATTATCGGGGCGGCCGCCCGTTGGCCCCGGCCCGGTGGCTCATTTCGGTTCCGGGAAGTTCAAACGCGCACCAATTCGTCCAATTATTGAACATTATTGGTTGAACGGCGGGCGGGCGCGGTCTGCCTGATGAATTCTCGGAAGGCCCTCCGCCGCCGCGGCTGCTCTTGCTGCACCGGCGTGGCGGGGCGCGGCGCGGACTTAAGCGGCCAGAACAAAACAAGCACCATTCATGAGACTATGGACGTTATGAAAGACTAGTAGCAGTCAGCACGCAAATTCGTTCTAATGTCCGTTTCTTGTGTTTTTTTGTTTCTCTGCAGGAAAAGCCCCACAAGTGCAGCCTTTGCTCCAAGTCGTTCCCCACCCCCGGCGACCTCAAGTCGCACCAGTTCGTCCACTCGGGCTCCTGGCCCTTCAAGTGCCACATCTGCGCGCGCGGCTTCTCCAAGCTGACCAACCTCAAGAACCACCTGTTCCTCCACACAGGTAAGCAGCATTCTCGACAGTCTGTAAGGTTTACGGGAGGGACACACAGTGGTGTGGGTCAGCCGTTCCGCGCCACGCGCCGCCACGTCCCACTGCTCCGGCCAATGGACCGTGCAGCTGGAGAAGGTGACTTACCGTCCCGGAGCAGCGGCAGGGGACAGGACACCCGCCGTCGTCCAGCCAGGGGACCGCGACCGGGTGGTACCCGCCGCGTCCGGGACACGCTGCGCGCAACCGTAGCCGTAGCCAGCGACCTGCACAAAGGACCGCACAGTCGGTTGGTTAGCCGCCCCCGCGCCGCCCCCGCCGCCGTTACAAAACGCTCCGGGATGACCGTTGGCGGCGCGCCCTGCCCTGCGCCTCGCCTTGCCACGCGATGCGGTGCGCACCCTCGCCTCCCCCTCGATCGGCGAGACAACGACGCCGACCAACGATCATGCGGCCGATAGCAGCGCGTGCGGGGCTACAGGTGCCTGGCGGGGCGGGGCGG